AGGAGGGACATATCCCTGGAGAAGGATATCATGACTGGTAAAGTGGAGGGTCAGAGAAAAAAGGAAGACCCCCCCTAACTATTTGGATTGGCACAGTGACAGCATCAATGGGCTCAAACATAGCAATGGTTGTGAGACTGGCGCAGGACTGGGCAGTGTTTCGTCCTTTTGTGCATAGGGTCTATGAGTCAGTACCAACTCAATGGCACCTAACAAAGACAATATAAAAGGCATAAACCAGCATAAGGGGTAAAGACGGACATTATACAATGATTAAAGAGTTAAGTGAACAAAGGAAAAGCCTAATGGAAGAGTCTCAAATACTTTGATCAAATTTGTCACAGAAATGAAGAAAGAGACAATTCTTCAATAATAATTGTTGTTGTTGTTATGTGCCTTTGAGTCAGTTCTTACACATAGCCACCCTGTATAGGGTTTCTGAGGAACAGTTAGTGGGACTGAAATGTTGACCCTGTGGTTTACAGTCCAGTGCTGATCCTACAGCGCCACTGTAAAGCACCACTTTCAATGAAGAGCAGAACTAGAAAAAAACTCAAAAAAGACAAGAACTAAACAACATAATCCGCCAACTTGACATAAAAGGCATGTGCAGATACTCTATTCAACAGCAGCACCATATATGTTCTTTTCCAGCATACATGGAACATTGTCCAGAATAAACCATTTATTAGGCAACAGAGCAAGCCTCAATAAATTTTAAAACATCAACATGCTACCAAGTATCTTCTCAGATCACAATGCTATAAAAGTATAAATCAACAAGAGGAAAATCAAGGAAAAGAACATCAAATCCATGGAAATTGAGTAATGTTGTTGTTAAGTGCTGTTGAGTCAGTCCCTACTCTTAGGGACCCTATATAGGGTTTCCAAGGAGTAGCTGATGGGTTTGAACACCACCTTGCTGTTCAAATTGATCTGTGGTCTAGTGCTTATTCTACAGCACCACACCAGAACTGCACTGGGTAACAAAAGAAATATATATTTTTTTAAATGAAATAAAAATTTCCTTGATTCAAATGAGAATTAAAACACAACATATCCAAATCTTCAGGATACAGCAAAGGAACTGCTCAGGGAGCAATTTATAGCAATAAACACACACTAAAAAATAAAAAAAGAAAAAAGAAACAAAGAAAGAATTAAAAATAAGCCTATAGTCACCAAAAGAAAACCAATTACAAAGATTAGAACAGAAATAAACAGAAAAATGCAAAACAATGGATTAACAAGACAAGAAGTTTTTTCTTTGAAAAGATTAATAAAATTGACAAACCACTGGCTAGTCTAACAGGAAAGGAAACCAATGCAAATAGATAACATGAATGAGAAATGAAGCAGGTGACATTATAATAAAACTAACACAAATAAAAAGGTTATAACAATATTATGAAGAAGAGTATTTCATCAAAGTTGAAATCCTAGAAAAAATGGAAAACTTTCAAGAAACACACTACCAACTTAAAGAGCCACAGATTCAAGTAAAAAAAATTGACTAGACCCCCTAACTAATGAAAAAATTGATCAGGTCATCAAAACTTCCCAACAACAGCTAAAAATCCAGACCCATACCAGTTTAATGACAATTTCTACCATTCAGAGAAGAGTTGACACCAAATCTACTCAAGGTAGTCCAGAGTATATAGACGCATAACCCTGATACCAAAACCAGGCAAAGACATAACTAAAAAAGTAAAATTATGTACCAATATCCCTCATGAGCCAGGAGCGCTGGTGATGCTACACATTAGGCATTGGACTGCTAGCTGCATGGTCAGCAGTCCAGACCCACCAGGCACTCCATGGGCAAAAGATTAAACTGTCTGCTAAAGTCTCTAGAGGAAAAGAGGAGCTAAGTTCAGGGAGAAGGGGCAGGACCAATATCATAGTCCCCCGTGACACACTTGTTGTTGTTAAGTGCCGTCGAGTCGGTTCCGACCCATAGCGACCCTGAACAGGGTTTCCGAGGCTGTAAATCTTTACAGGAGCAGAAAGCCTCATCTTTCTCCGGCAGAACAGCTGGTAGGTTCAAACTTCTGACCTTGCGGTTTGCAGCCCGATTAGTAAACACTATGTTACCAAAGCTCCTTAGTGACACACTTGTTGTTGTTGTCATGTACCGTGGAGTCGGTGTGACTCATAGTGACCCTGTACAAGGTTTCTGAGGTTGTAAAATCTTTACGGGAGCAGAAAGCCTCATCTTTCTCCCGCGGAACAGTTGGTAGTTTCGAACTGCTGACCTTGAGGTTCTCAGCCTGATTCATTACCACTATGCTACTAGAGCTCCTAGTAACACATTTAGAGGGATATAAAGTAAGATGCATTTAAAATCTGTCAAAAAGTTTATCAGTAGGGAACAAAAATACATCACTGTCAGCATTGCCTGTTATCCTGTACCCTTAATTTCTTCAGTCACCATTTGTTAAAACCACTCACACTTACCTTCTTGTTGGCAGTCTTCCAGCTGCTATGTTGTTGTTATGTGCCGTGGAGTCGGTTCCGACTCATAGCGATCCTGTACAGGGTTTCCGAGGCTGTAAATCTTTACGGGAGCAGAAAGCCTCATCTTTCTCCGGCGGAACAGTGGGTAGTTTCGAACTGCTGACCTTGCGGTTCGCAGCCTGATTTGTAACCACTACGCTACTGGCTGCTATAGTTGTTTTTTACACAATATGTTCAGCATAGGCCTCTCAGAAGGAAGATACACCTTGCTTTCCTGAAGGAATGTGAATCCAAATAGTAAATTGTCCTGGTGTGGTAAGCACTGGACCACCAGGTCGGTTTGAACTGTAAGGTTGGTGGTTGCAATCCACCAGTTGCTCCTCAGAAACTCTATAATAAAGTTTCACTATGAGTCAGAACCGACTTAATTGGCACTTGACAACAACAATCAACAACATGTTGTTGCTGTTGTTCAGTGCCATCCATCCAGTCTGAGGCCCTGATTTCATGTCTCTTGGGTATTTTGAATTGCTGAGTCATATGTTAATTCAATGTTTAAGTTTTTAAGGCACTTTCAGCCTGTTTTCCACAGTGGACTTACAATTATATAGTAAGTTCTTTTGCAATAAAAAGTCCTCATTCATCTCAAATGTAATGTTATATCAAATCTAGTAAGCTTCCTTTCAGCAGGTGGGAATGATGAAACTACTCAGTCCAATAGGTGGATATATTCCATCTGGCCACATGCCAAACTTCTTAGCTTTTCTGAATCTCCACTTCTTCATCCGTAAATGGGAATGAACCACACCTACTTCAAAGAGCTGGACATGGTAGTTTGAGAAAGGTTGAAGTGAGATGATGACAAGATCCAATATCCACGTTCATGATCTTGCCATCATTTAAGGCACAAATAACACTGCTGGATAGGAGGAACCATATAGCACTTAAAGACCAGTCTTTGTTGCTGTTGGCAAGTGCTGTCAAGTTGGTTCTGACTCATAGCGACCCTGACCCTGAATAGTGTTTTCTGGACTGTGGATCAGCACTGGACTGAAAACCACAAGGTTGGCAGTTCAAACCCACCAGCGTCTCCTCAGAAATCCTATACAGGGTCACTGAGTCAGAACCATTCAACACCACTCAACAGCAACAACAACATAGTGTTTCCAAGGAGTGAATAGTGAGTTTGAACCACCGACTTGGAGTTAGCAGTCCATTGTTTATCCAACAGTCCCACACCAGTACCCCAAGGGTACTGTAAAATATACTTGGTACTTGTAAATATAAATATAAAAGGTACTTGTAAAATATACAACACAAACAGTGAACACAGACCTTTTTTCCAAAACTTTTTGCCACAACAAACACATTTGATCAGGGATCTCTGCCCTAGATCACCACTTGGCTTTTGAATGTTTTCTCAGTGGAAGGTCTATGGAAAGTCTTCTCTGAGCTGTTAGTCTTCTCAAATGGAAAGGTCTTCGACCTCACATTGCTTTGGATATAAGTGTGAGGTACACACACACACACACCACTACCACACACACACACACACACACACACACACACACGTACATATTTTTGGTCCAGAGCAGCAAGAGTGGTAACAGCAAGCTTTAACCTCTGAGGGCCTCGAAGTTTGAACTGCATTTAATGAAGGCTCCCAGTTTCCTAGGAGTCCTGGTATGGAACTGTAGGATAAACACTGGACCATAAGGTCAGTTTGAGCCACAATATTGGCAGCTCAAACTCACAATGAGTCGGAGCCTACACAACGGCATTAACAACAACAATGACAACCCAGTTCCCCAGAAAAAGGGACAGTTTCAGGAGGCAGAGATGCATGTTCAAGATGCAAGCTTAGTCTGGAAGCATGTGTGATATGATTGCTGTTGTCAGAATGATGGATGTTTTACCAGATATAGGACCAGAGGGGTTAGCACCAGGGAAAAGAGAAACTAACTGCTGAGGCTGGAGTTAGGGTGGGCAATGGCCTGAACAAACTTCAGAGGAGAGACAAGACTTTGTACAGAGTCTAGTGGAATGAATATGAGTTCACAAGGCAGAGAAACTGGGGACAGTCATGTCTCTCAAGCAGAAGGCTTGTAGTCTAGGCTAAGCAATAGTTTGTGGCATTTACACCTAGACTCTTGGGAACCCGAGAGTCTTATTGGTATGAAGGAGTTACAAGTATATTGTCAAGTCCCATCATATTGGAGTCACATTTTACAATGATCCTCTTATACAATGGGCATCATTATCCTGACCTACTTCCCAGAAGCATTTGAAGGAAAAGAGAAATACAATTGACTTCAATGATATCTGCAAATGTAAAATGCTATATAACTGTGTAATATTGCTCATTAAAAAAACATTAAATAGCCTTCACCTACATTATAAGCCAAGTTGTGAAAATACAGCTGTCTTGTTTCATTAAGAATAACCAACAGTGTCGGTAATATCAATAATCACCCTCTATCAAGATGGCTGTAATTTGTTTGTCAGCCCTTTTAAGTTCTTAGTAAATTAGTTTGTTCAGCATGTGGTTACAAGGATATTATGAAATCACAAGCTCTGGAATTCCCTTTCCTCTCAAGAAAGAACTTGAGATGGCTGGAGACCTTCAGCGAGAACTCCCCAAGGAACCTCACCATCAGGTAGAGGCCAGGCAGCCTGCCTGTCTAAATCTTTGAATCCGTAGCTCTCTTCGGAGTTGATCATCAAAGCATGTTACATCACAGTCCTGCTCTCTTCTAGGATGTAATTTTCTCAAAAAAGGTTTCTTTTATTTAACAAGTTGTTAATATATAGTGTTCACACTTACAGTTGATTCACATTATTTCTGACCATTATGTTTTATAGAGTCACTGAAAACATGGGTTTAGCAAATACTGAAGCATTGGTCCATGGGGAAATACAGGGTTATGTTCCTGTGAGCCTCTGGTCACAACATGTTCATCAACAGATCAGGACACAGTTTTTTGTTTTGTTTTTTTTTTTTTATGTGTATATTTGTTTAAAGACACCTTATTTAGTCTATAATGTTGATTTATTCATATTGAGCCCATGGCCAACAGCAATATAACTCATACCTGAACAAAGCATACCTAATACACATATTTTCTCTGTATGGCACCTCACAGCTTTCTTGGATTTATGAACCCTAGACAGCACTTCAGCACAATGCTTAGGGGGAATTTTAAATACCAAAATCATCTACATAAAGCAAACAAGTGCAAAAAACATGGCAATGTGGTGTAGTGAATTATCTAATGTTTCTACTAGCCATAGTCTATAACTCCCACCAAAAAATGTTTCTGCTGTGCGGGGTCTGGATAAGAGAAATAAAACATACCGATAGTATGACATGATTCATCTACGGACGCTAGCATAATTTACTATAATTGTAAAAACTTTAAACTCTAGCATGATTTTTAAAGTAGCCATCTCACAAGCAGGAGGAGGAATCTCACTACCATCAAAGAAGAGCCAGGAGGGTAGCATGTCTTTTGGACCCTGAGGTATCTGCACATTGAACTTCCTCTGTGAAACCAGCAGAGTGTCAGAGGAACAGCAGCAGAACTAAGAACTACAACAGGAGACAAGCTTCTCGGCCCACAATGGAACTAAAGCTGAGGGACTTTGGGCAGGAAGCTTGCTTGTAGAATGAGTTGCCTCCAGCACTCAAGTGGGGAGCTAGGTTTGCTGACCTACAGAACTAGCACTTAGTGCCTCCAGGCTGAGGCTTATAGTGGAGTGGTGTGTCCTGTGGGCATTTATCAACAGCTGATTGGAACAACTGTGCCTTAAGCATTTCTGACCCTGAACTGTAATCTGTTAACTTCTCTAATAAACCCCGTAACCGTATTGTCTTTGACTTCTGTGTAGCCATTGCAGTGATTTACTGAACCCAGTGGAATAGAAAAGGTTGTGGGAAGAATGCTTGGTGATTCATATTTTGCCAAGTACTAACTAGACTGGGTAAAAGACACATGTTTACAGTTGTTTTTGTTGTTAGGTGCCATCTAGTTGGTTCTGACTTACAGTGACCCTGCATAGGGTTTCCAAGGAACAGCTGGTGGGTTTGAACAGCCAACCTTGTAGTCCAGTGTGTATCAGACAATGTCACCCCAGGACTCCATATTTACAGTATGAGAGCTTCAACCAAAAGACAGAGCACCATCATGTTCACCTTCAGCTGTGACGTGCCCGTTGGGTGACTCAAATTTTCTGCCATTCTGAGCATGCCCATGAATAAACATAAAAGTGCTGTGTTCATGTTTGGATGGCAAATAAGTTTTAGCAAGTAGGTGAAATTGGTGAAATATGGAATCCATTAATAATATATGTTGTTGTTGTTGTTAAGTGCCATCAAGTCGGTTCCGACCCAGACTGACCCCGTATAGGGTTTCCTAGGAGCAGCTGGTGAGCTTGAACCACTGACCTTGCAGTTCAAATGGCTTTGCAGTCTGGTGCATTAACCCACAGTGCCACACCAGGACTCCTGAATAATGTATATACATCTTTAATTCACTGTAATCATTTCACCTACATCACCTAAACATATTAATAATAAATACTGGAACTAATGATAAATCATCAACATTATTTCTGTATTGAAAATCCCCTTCCCTTTCAAACTGAACTTCTTTATCACAATAACAAAAAAGGAATTATTTCTAAAATCCATGCAGTCAACTGAAAATTCTATTCAGATAACATTTTCAAATATCTTATCAAGAATCAAAAACTAGTACTTTCTTATTTTCCCTTAGACCAAAACCAAAGAAAACAAAAACACAACTCCAAACAAACAGGAAGTCAAGACCAAAGAAAGATACAAACCCTCAGATGTAAGTGAGAATCCATATTCTAGTACTCCTTGTGGCAATTTTAGCTATTGGGAAATTCTGGTAGGACACTAAGCCAAGAAAAAGGCTAGGAATTGTCAGGATCATAGAATTTGAGAAACTCCAGGTAGCATTGCCCTAAATAATTCTTGAGAAGTCAGATCAGATTCCTTCCAGTTTAGGGAAAATTTCTTAGGAAGAAAGCATACAACCTCATTTAATAATCCTCTGCAAGGCTCTATGGGACCCTAGATGATAATGCCATGAACGTTATCTTAAACAGAAATCCTGTACACACTGTAAAAAGGGGTTCTATACCCCCCAATCTGGTATTTTCAGAAAGCTACAAGGTATGCTTTGTTTACCCAGAACTACTACTCTTGACCCATTATCAAAAAGTAAGAAACTTTGAATTGAGTTTGCATTGATGGATTGAGTTTATCTCTCTTGTTCATCATGACATGGCTGCATGAAATTAGTGGAAATAATGAAATTGTCCACCAAACGTTCCTGGAGATTTAAGCAGACAGGCGAAGTGCTGCTCTAGAAAAGCCCAGAAGCTTCTCCTTGGAAGGAAGAAGAAAATAAAAAATAAAAGAAGAGAAACAGCAGAAGAGGTGAAGGAAAGCAAAGACACAAAGCAGTGGTCTCTGAGGACCCATTCCCATACCCTGTAGCCACTGTGTAACTTCCAACCTAAGATGGTTCCATGTGTGCTCCATAGAATTATCGAGGGAAATGGATCACCAGGGTCTTTCTTCTGAGGCGCGTATGGGTTGACTCGGATCTCTAAGTTTCGGTTAGCAGTAGACGGATTCTTTTTTTTTTTTTTTTTGGTATCTGTTCATCAGACCAATCTGTTCATTGGTCTTTCGCTGTCTGTACAACTCCATTCTTTTGAATAGAGGGGATGCCTGAGCGAATGGACACCCCGCCCTCTCCCCTGGATGGTTCTACTATGCATGCGCACGCGCACAGATCTCCTCGAAATTTAAAGTGACAGTTTCCACTTAAAACAAAATGCCTACCACTCATCTATCAGTTTGTCATACTATGGTTGCTTGTGAGTTGCTGTCATTCTGAAAGCTATACCACCAATATTTTAAATACCAGCAGGGTCGCCCATGGTGGACAGGTTTCAGATGAGCTTCCAGACAAAGACGCTCTAGGAAGAAAGAGTGACAAACTACTTCCGAATATTTAGTCACTGAAAACCTTATGAATAGCAGAGAAACACTGTCAGATATAGTGCTAGAAAATGAGCCCCTCGGGTTGGAAGGCTCTCAAAATGCAACTGGGGAAGAGCTGCCTCATCAATGTAGACTTGACCAAGGTAACACAAATGGAGAAAAGCCTGCGCGACCTTCATTTGCTGATCGGGCACAACTCAAAATGAAGAGAAACAGCTGTAAACATCCATTGAAAATCA